CTGCGGTGCGCACTGTGCCTCCAGCAGCTCGCAGAGCTGGCTTCTGTCATGTGGGTGTGGGGGGTAATATATGGGTTAGCATCCTTCTCCTGCGGTCATAAATGAGAGGGAAGGAGAGCAGCTGCACGCTTTAGCTCTCCTCCCTCCCCGTGCAGCACAAGGCGGGGAAGTGGCACGCCGTGGGGCATCCAGCACGGGGAGAGGGAATGGCTCGGCGTGCTCTTGCAAGCACCCCGGGGACATGCAGAGTGCCTCTCTGCCAGATAATTGTGTTGGCCGAAGCACAGGGTAAGGGGTCGGGAGGGGGGAAGTGTGCCCTGTGCTACTATGCTCAGATTTTCCTCTTTTTCCTGCCATCACCTCTGAAACCCGTGCCAAGGAGCCGAAGCTGTAGCGGCCCATGGGTCAGCTTAGAGGTGGGATCTGTCAGGGAGATGCTGCTCTGCTGGGCCTCCTCCGAAATCACCTGCCGAGGACCGCTCACCCGCTCTTTCTCCCCTGGTTTGTGCCTGTGTGGCCGGGCTGGTTTCGGGTTCGGCGCAGCTGCGACGGTGGGTTTTGTGGTGCATGGGAAGGTGGGGGCCCCCCTCTGTGTGCTCTATAAAAAGATTGGTGGCAGCACAGCCCTATCTATAGCACAGCGAGGGAGCTGCCTGGGAGAGGCAAGGCAGGGATTAGCCCCAAATCTGGTGGTTTTCTCCAGTCCCGCTCGGGAATGCCAGGCTGGTAGTGGTGGCTGAGGGATTCCCAGCGCACCCCAGGTCATGAGATCTCCCTGCCAGCAGACGTGTCCTGGCTTTGCTGGGATTTCCTGACCATCTGCATCCTCCCCAAGGGGGCTTCTTGTCACACTTGTCACCTAAAGGCTGGGCTCTCCCCAAATCCCCCCTTTTCTGCTCTTCAGGGCTGAGGATTTCACTGCAGCACATGGAGGCTGATGGGGATGGCCCCAGTGGGACTTCAGGGCACCTGTGTTTGGGGCAGATGCTCAGCATCCGCCTGTGCCTGGTCCACTTTTGGAGGTCTCAGGGCAGCTAAGACCTTTGCTAGCAAAGCTGGTTGTGACACTTGTGTCCCACAGTATTTATACTGGAGAGTTCAGCCAGATGATAGGGGGTTGCGTTTTGCCCTATGCTTTGTTTTGGGGGGGGACGGCGGGTGGCTGCGTGTCCTGGGCAGCCAAACCCCGTGTTTGTTGGTGCCACAGCATCACCCTGGGGGTCTCGCCAGCACCCAAGTTTGGCTGGACATTGCCACACTGTGGGTGCAGAGCAGCCCACAGCGGTGGGCTTTGCTCGTGGCTGCTGCCTGTCATCCTCTGAGGGTGCTGGCTGTCCCTGGAGACCCCCAGTGCCACCCGTGAGAGCATCCCCCAGCCCTCCCCGGGGCGGCGGTACCCGGGCGTGTGTCTCTTTAATGAGGCTGGGCTTGGAGCAGCTCTGCTGCTGGCACAGGGAGCGAGGGATGGAGCGAGGGCGGTGAAGGAGCCAGTG